GCCAGGTTCGCTTGGTGTCCTAAATTCTCAGTCGTCCCTGGGCCTAATCAGCCCCTTTTACCCTCTGTGTTGTGTGTTCCTCGTGGGTGGGAACTTCCACTGCATTTGCCTCTTACACATCATCCTGATTTGTATAGGCACGGCACTGCCTTGCTCACTATTGATCTCATGGTTTACATCTTCCAGGTACCTTGACACAGGCCATCCGTAATTTTGCCAAGAGCTTGGAAGGCTGGTTGACAAACGCCATGAGCGACTTTCCCCAGCAGGTCATCCAGACCAAGGTAACTGTCCAGGGGCGGTGTTTGAGCTCCCAGACCACAGCTGGTCACAGGGAGCCGGGGAGCTGCCGGCTGGGAGCTGGGCCCACCCACTCCCTGCTCTGCTGGGTTCGCCAGGAGGGAGCCGGGGAGCAGCTCGGATGAGGCAGGAACGCTCTGCCCAGAGAGGCCAGCTTCTTCTCATGAGTCATGCGGGCCATTGCTCCTTCCAGGAAGGGAAATTCAATCTCTTTGCTATTACCTTCATGTTACTACAGTCTTGGCCCCAAAAGAGAATCGAAATGTGGAGATTTGGCCTCCATATGAGAAGAGAATGATCATCTATCGCTCTCGCCAGCAGTTCTTGAAAAGCTGCTGTGTGTGGATGAGGGCCAGGTTCAGAGCGCCTGGTCTACCTGCCTACAATTCGGACTTGATCTGTGAAGCCGGTGATCCTCAAACTTCCGTGTGCGTCAGAATTGTCTAATACCAGCTGCTGTCAAGTCATCTTCAACTCATGGCAACTTCGTGTGTGTCATACGGTTTTCAATGGCTGACTTTTCAGAAGTAGTTTGCCAGTTTTTTCTTCCAAGGCACCTCTGGGTGGACTTGAATCTCCAACCTATTGGTTAGCTGCCGAGCACGTTAACCATTTGCACCACCCAGGGACTCTGAGCGCCTGAATTGATCTGTTAGGCCAGTCATTCTCAAACATCCATGTGCATAAGAATCACCTAAACCAAAAAAAACCATTGCCATAGAGTCGATTCAAGCACATAGTGACTGTAGAACAGAGCAGAACTGCCCCATAGGGTTTCCAAGGCTGTAAATCTTTATGGAAGCTGACTGCCACATCTTTCTCCTGCAAGAGTGGCTGG